AGAGGGCCGCCTTTTCACCTCCCTGTCCGGCGGCTCCGCTCCCTCCCCAAGGGAGCCGGGGCAGCCCCGGGGAGCACCCGCGGTGAGAGTCAGATCTGCCACAGGAGGAACAGTGCTGTCCCCAAAGCTGTTCTCCTCCATTCACACCCAAAAAATAACCACCCCATGATGGCTACGTTCCTGTGCAGCCCCCTAATACAACAAACGGTGGGATTCTTACCATGGCCCTGACACGGCGTGTTTTAAAATCACTTGATTTGTCTCCATTTGGTAGAAAAACTTGGGGTTTTGTGTTCCAAGTCAGTTTTTTTTTCTCAGTCCAGACCTGAACCTGTCTACGCAAGGAAGTGTTCAAACAGATTTAACAGAATTATAGAATCACAGAATGGTTGGGTTGGAAGGGACCTTTCAAGTCCTTTAGTCCAACCCCCCTGCCATGACCAGGGACATCTTCAACCAGACCAAGTTGCTCAGAGCCCCGTCCAACCTGACCTTGAGTGTTCCCAGGGATGGGGCATCTATCACCTCTGTGGGCAACCTGGGCCAGTGTCTCACCACCCTCATAAAATATGTCGTCCTTATATCTAGTCTAAATCTTCCCTCTTTTAGTTTAAAACCATTACACCTTGTCCTGTCGCAACAGGCCCTGCTTAAAAGTCCGTCCCCATCGTTCCTGTAGGCTCCCTTTCGGTACTGAAAGGCCACAATAAGGCAGCATTCTTTATGAAAGCAGCACAAATGGACCTCTCATGGTAATAACTGCGGACCCATGTTCTGTCTACTGAGAGGGGGCTGCTTTTGAGATTGAGGAGTTCAAACCTGGGCTCTCCATCGGGTGGCAGTGCTCCATGACAGTACAAATACGGCTATCTCCAAATTCCCAAACTCTTCCAGCAAGTACAACATTCTGCATAAAACCAAAATGCTTAAAAATGGCTGGGGAACCGTTTTTGACTGGGTTTTGGTGCTGAGTACAAAGTTCTCAGCTATGAACTGAACAGTTTCCAGCTTCCAGGCTGGTACCAAAAGCAACCTGGGTGCTGCAAGGGCTCCAGGGCAGTTTTCAAGAGGAACTCAGGGTTTCTCCAAAGTACTGTAGGAGACACAGTAAAAGAATGTCCCGTGAAGTCTCACTCTGTGGATCTCTGTGGAAATGAGGAAGAGAAAATATTCCAGTAGCAAAACTTTTAATTGTACAATGATTGGTAGTTTTGGAGTTTTAAAACATGAAAAATTAGCATAAGAAAGTTCACAGGAAAGAGTTCTGACCGAACACCCGCCACACAAACCATCTGTCAGAGAGGCAGAAATTTAGCTGTAACAGCCGTAAGCACCAGTGCAAAGCAAGAGGCACTGGAAAAGCAACCACACCTCCTCCAAACAGAAAGGCCATGCCATTTTGGTTAATTAATATTACTTAGACAGTCCCTTTCAACTGCAGGACTCCAGAGTTGAGAGCGATACACTGTCCATGAGAGTGAGACCCTCCGCACTGAAGGGCAGCCACTCCTGGAGAGTGACAGGGGACATGCCTGGGAGCTCACCGCAGCAGCCCAAGTGCCAAAGAGAAGACACAAGATCCCATCACCGCAGTCAGTGCCAGTACACAGTCCACAGCCTCCGAACATCCACGTCCAGCTCGTGTCCCTGGGCACACTGAAGAGGCAGATCCCTAGTTACTTGTATCATCGGCTCAGTTCAAGGAGATGAACCATCATCCTGGCATCTTCAGCAGCGAAAGCTCTCACTGAGCGCCTCTCCAGCATGCACCCAGACAGCCTTCATCGTACATCTTTCTTGCGAGAGAAGTAAAAATCTATCCCTCTGTCTTTGTGCTGCATTGGTGTGTGCGCCGGTCCTCTCCTGCCCCTGGGATGGGGACTTTGTCCCTGCTGCAAATGAAAGGTGAACACTGAGATATTTACTGGTGCTGCAGAGTGAATCTGATCACGAAGCAGCCTCGACATCCAGAAAAATGTGCACGTGGCACTCCTGCTCCCAAGTTTACTAAAAACGTGGGGAGACCCGACAGGCATAGCTCTAGGCTTGGGCTTAGGAAACTAGGATTTCTGGTAAGGTGTGGTATTTTCAAAGGTATTTTGATATTCAGGGTTTTTTTTTGGGGGGGGGGATGAGGGGGGGCTAGGAGAGGAGATTCTTCTCCAGGCCTCAGTAACATTAGGCCAACAGTCCCTCCCAGGATTATTTTAATTTCATGAGCACAATGTGGCAGTGCAGCCCCACAGAGCCCCAGCTGAGCTGGACACTTAACCAATATGCTGCCTGATGGATGCGGTTTTTGGGGTTCAAGTTTTGTTGCTGCCTCAAACCAGTGTCTCACCAAGGGGCTCCTTCACAGGGTCCTTCCTCTGATCTCAAATGCACTCTTAAACAAAAGGGTTAATAATCCCTTCAACAGCATGGCCACTAAACTTCCCACTCATGGCAAAGGAATCCAGCCTGAGAAATTTGGTACTGCAAGTTGGGATTAAAACCCAAAATGGAGACATGCTTCATTCTTCATTGAACATCATATGACAACTAAATTTGAGCCTCCAGAAAGTATCTTTACTCAGGAGGGGGCAGAGAGGATGCGTGGGGGAAGACAAAATGCTGAAAACCCCTTGAAATATGCAACTGTTGGTTACAAATATTTCTCTCTTCCCTTCCAGCTCTACCACCACTGACCACACCCAGACCTACAGAGCACTCTCCTTCCACACCCATCTCCTCCAAGAACAGCAGCCCAGGCAGCAGATGCAAGTATTGACTTGTTGCAGGATCCACATCTTAATCTGTCCCCATTCAAAAGGGGAGATACACCCCAAAAAAAAGTGCAAGGGCCAGTCGCCGTATTTACTGGTCTTGCTGACTCCAGTTTGGATGCACTCAAGTACGGTAGGAGTTCCACCTCATGAACAGAGTGGAAACTGAGCATCAGCCTTGGCTCCCTTCTGTCCATCTGCACTGGGGGGTGGTTAGGCCAGTGGAGGCCTTCAGAGATACCCCATCTCTCCAACTCATATCTGGCACTATGTATATCCAAAACGAAAAAAAACCATGAGTAAGAAGAGCTACCTATAAAATAGTAAACAAAACATGCATGGGTTCATTCTTCAGCCCTGAAGCCAACTGGCCTGGCACAGTTTATGTCCATATGATGTAGGGTGGTTTTGTCAAGACTGTATTTTGTGACAGTCTTTAGTACATGGTACCCTCAAACTGTGCTTGGACAAAGTTCTGGATGGTGCTTGTTGGCCCTGGCAAGAAGATTGCTGGGGAATACACTAACAATGAACAGTCCAGGTGACAAGAGCTGGTACTTGGGCTTGTGCCTCAAACCTGTTTAGTTTAGTAGGACAGCCACAGCTAAATAACCCTGATGGCACAGTCCCGCTGCAGAGCTGGACCACTCTCTGCTGTGAGGGAACGTGACTTTGCATTAAAGATTTTTTTTTTTTCCCCTGAGAAAGAAGAGCAGAATTCACAGCCACTCCTACATGCAAATCAAATGCCTGGAGCCCTCCCACCCCACCCGAACCTTCCCAGTACTCACGGGCCTCTGGTTGATGTGTCGGCTCCACTCTGGGGCTGTCACAAGTGGCTGTGGGTAGGTCTCACCGAGAGTTACTCCCGCCTGGGAGAGAGCAGCACTGCTGAGTGCCCAAGGGGTATGGATATCTGCTCCCTTTATGCCCTGTAGTTCTGGGACCCACAGCCGGACGTAATCCCCCTGCAAACAGAACCAATCCATTCAGTAACAATCTGTAACTGCTTCCCAGCAAAGGTCTTTCTTAACATGAAAGAAAGAAACCCGATTTCCAGGTAACAAAGCTGGTGTACTACAGCATGAACTACCTCTGCCAAGTCTTAGCCCATCCTGTTAAACCCTCTGCTGAGAATTAGTGCCTAAACAGAGAGACACAGATACTGGAGCTCCTCTCCCACGATCACTCTGCAGGCAGCGAGGGGAGACAGAGGGGGTCTTTTTTTGTTCGGTTCCCCTGCCCTATTTAGGACATAGGTGAAGTCACTCCCAAGAAGTCCTTTTTTTTCTTTCCAGTGACTGTGAAGGAAACTAGGGTGACTGGGTCAGTTGCACACCCACCTCTGCGCTTGGCAAGATGAACCCCCCTGCACCGAAACCTCCCATTAACTACTGCTGTGTCCCCTACTAGGACTAATTTTTAATTCCTTTTTAAGTCCTGAGAGGCAACACCACAGTTTGCCATGAAGCTAAGGAACAGGGTGGGAACAGGTAATGCAGCATGTGAACACTGGCTAAGCACGTGGAAAGGGTGATTTAGCTGCTCCCACCACTTACAGAGGATAGCCAGAGGAGTCCCAGGTTTAATCTACTCTCTAGGACCTCCCGAGGTGCTGTGTGAGCAGCTGAGTCTCTCCTGTCACTTCTGAGTTCTCCGAGAAGCTGCTCTGTGCTCAAGGAAATGGCTGTGTGAGATATGGATGGGATGTGGCTGTTAACCGGAAGAAATGGTGATGAAACACTAAATACACAGACCAACGGCAGGGCAGGGAGGGCGTACAGAGCCTCTTTGGGGACAGCAGCAGATTGTAAACGTCAGATCTTCCTGTACAACAAGGAGGAACCTGCCTGACTGTTGGCAAGGAGATCATAGAACCGTTATTGCAGCAGTATCCACACAGCAGATTGATCTCTTCTGTTCCCTGGAACTATCACATACACTTTTCTGCATTGTAAGACAGCCAAACGAGACTTACACTGCCATCGTAATCCAGGCCTTGTTTAATCATGTTAAACTTCCTGTTGTCCCGTGGGTCGTTGCCAATACCAGCGCTGTATAACCAGTTGCCGTAATTGCTACAAACGTCATAATCCACCTTGAGAACAGAGGAAGAAAACAGTAAGAAGAGCTGGGCTGGCCCTTGGTGAACCTTCTCTCCCCATCCACCCCTTATCTCAAGGGGAGAATTCCTTGCATGGGAATCAATCTGGCCACACTGGGGTAGTCAGAGCTCTCCCATGTAGCTACAGCCATCTGGCTCAGAAGAGGACCATGCTTCATGGATGTGTTGTACAGCTGGGATCAGCTTCCCAGGCTACTTCACTTCATGGTCCTTAGGTCAATGAGATAGGTAAAAGTCCAAGCAAAGTCCCTCTCTTTCTCAGTTCTTTCTCTTTCTGTCACCATCTGGCAGACTTCATGAAAACAAGCCCTAGCTTTTGAGTGCTCATATTCCAAGAAACAGTAGCCCAGTACATTTCAAATAGGAAAGAAAATTTTTCCTGACCAGTTACAACAGAGACCACGGACTAACAAAATCATCTATGCAGATCCTATTAGGCAGACTGGAGAAAAGTCTAACTCAGACTGTACAGAGTGACCAAACAGAGTGTATGAAGATGCAATCGATATAAACACTGCAGCTTTTTCCCTGCTATAGACTCAACCTTCATCAGACAATAAGCCTCAACTCACAGGGACTTGGCAGAGAGCTCTCATGACATACTCAGTAGGCTGCACATCGTCAAGTTATTGTACATCTAAACAAATAGAAAGCTCTCAAGGATGCTGATGTAAAATGGAGCAAGGCTCCTGAAACAGGCACAAGTGAGAGCAGAACACGGTCCAGTCTGAGTGCTTTTCAGCTGGGCAGCGTGGCTTAAATCCAACATTAGAAGCTTTCCAGTTGCAGGACGAATTCAAACCTAGGTCAGGAGGGGAGTGGCAGTGATAGCACACAGGGCGTGGGATCTCTGCGCGTTCCTAGCAGAGGTGTTCGCATTGCAAAAGCATAGCGCTGGCAGCTGAGGCAGAGAGTGTGCAAAGACATGTCACTAAGCAGGTTCAGTTCTGATCTCTCCTCACTGCAGCTGCGGCATCAACCATTCCACACAGTGATGTTTCCAAAACCTCAGCCACTCCTTAAAGTGGGGAGCCCAACGCACCCAGACAGCAGAAGGCACAGGGGAACGGGCTCTGCCAAGTTCCATCCCCTTTCTCTGCAAAGCCAACCAAGAGCTGGGGACAGGGTGATCAATAGCCAGCTATGCTCACTATGTACCAGGCTTCCCCTTCTCAGCAGCGCTTCCTGCAGTCGCTGAGATAAGGAGGGGAAGAAAGATGCCATCGGAGGCCTGATTGCGTGATTAACATGCAGGAAAGCGTGTGCGGGAGGTGAGGGCAAATCCAAGGGGGACTGGAGGAGGCAGGCTCATTTCCCCCTCAGCCTTGCCCCTTCCTGGCATTCTCTTCTGTTTGTTTCTCTCCCTTTCCTTGGGGCCTGACCCTATGAATGAAATCATAGCCGAGATATTCTCTGTTCAGGACACCAGAGGTATCCGTCCTTTCCCCTGACTTCAGTGGGTTGCAGAGAGCTTGCCTTCGTCTCCCTACCCGCCTTGAGTGGATGACAAACACCCTCTTCACAGACACGTGCAAACACTCGGTGGGCCTTTGATGGATGTATCAGAGATGGGAAATGCTTTGTGTTCCCTTTTTGGAGGCAAGTGAGACCAGTTTCAGTTCTGTACTGGCCTTTACCACTATATAGCCATATCTCCCCCATCAAACTGATGTCTCCTGTATGTTACTCTGGGCATGCCACCAGATTAAAGTAACAGAGCCGTCTAGCGATATATCAGTGTGACACAAGCGGAAAGAGACAGAATCACAGAATCACAGAATCTTCAGAGTTGGAAGGGACCTCTAGAGATCACCTAGTCCAACTCCCCTGCTAAAGCAGGACTGCCCAGAGCACATTACTCAGTGCTGCATCCAGGCGGGTTTTGAAAATCTCCAGAGAAGGGGACTCCACCACCTCCCTGGGCAGCCTGTGCCACTGCTCTGTCACCCGAACTGTAAAGAAGTTTTTCCGTGTGTTGGAACGGAACTTCCTATGTTCCAACTTGCACCCATTGCCCCTCGTCCTGTCACTGGGAACCACCGAGAAGAGTGTGGCTCCATCCTCCTTCAACCCACCCTTTAGATATTTGTAAGTAGTAATAAGGTCTCCCCTCAGCCTTCTCTTCTCCAGGCTAAAGAGTCCCAGCTCTCTCAGCCTTTCCTCATAAGGGAGATGCTCCAATCCCTCAATCATCTTGGTTGCCCAAGGACAGAAGGATCAGCCTGTGCCACGCCAACCTAGAGTGGTTGCTTACAACCTACAGCATTCAGGGCTTCCCAATCTGAAAGGACTAGTGCAGAGTGCCAAATCTTGCTTCCAGCAAGGCTGGTAACATTCATGCCCACATGAATAAACGCAAGTGACCCAGGGAGCACCTTTCCAGTGTGAGATCGTCCAGGTCTTCCTCACTTGGAGAATAAGACCTGGAATCTTCCAGGGCCCTCTCAGTCTGACTGCAAAATGAACCAAGCTCCTATCTGAGGAAGGCAAGGCTGCCTGCCTGCCAGAGCAAAGCTTCAATTCCTGACTCCCAACTCTTAATCAGCTGGTGACTCTGAGTACAAGGCTTGCCTGTACATGCAGCAAGCTGCCCTCTCCGTGAAATGAAGTTACCTTTCTAACTGCTTTGAAAGCCATAGCTGATAGATGCCGTCAAAAGCCAGATACTACAAAACATTCAAACTGGTCCTAGTGGCTCACTCTGCAGGACAGACAGGCACAGTCGTGTTTGTAAATTTGTGAGAGCTGTACAATTCTTCTGGAGGTTCACTGTGTGTCACATACAATGCACTCAGCCTACAGGAGTGTTATGGTTTGAGAGACATATAACAATTCGTTATCATTTAGACAATCATTCTATCACCCGATGACCGAATCGGGAGAAACAAGGAAACCCATGAGCTGAAGTATAAACAGATTTAATAGAATAAGATTAGATAATTAACATTAAGAGCACTAAAGAACCAATATTGATCCTGACACCAATACAGAATATGCAAAGATTATGCTCAGCCAATACTATCAGTAGGAAGCTGTGCACTTCCAGCAGTGGACAGCAAATGTCGGACACTGTGAGTGCTATGGCTTCAGGAGGAAGGGAAGACCTCAGAAGTCCAACACCTGGGCACGAAGTTCTCAGGATGGTAGCCATCAAGAGAGAGAGAGAGCTTTGCAGCAAACTTTCTAATTTATAGTGAATGTGATGTTGATGGAATTAAATAATTCTGTTGGCCAGCTTGGGTCAAGTGCCCGGGTCTTGCTCCTCCTCATCCCTGCACTTGGCTAACTTGAAAACACTGAGACCTTGAAACCCACACACCATAGCTGGCTGTAAAGTAAATATTTTCACAAATTCAGACACTAGAGTCTTCTAAAAGTGCAGTTTTCCAAGTATTAGAAGAGAAACTAGTCCTGTTTCGCTCAAACCAGGACAAGGAGTTAGACGATCTATACTGAAATGCAGCCCCTGCTTGGCAATTCACTGCTACAAAGCTCAGGGCACGCAGCGTATCAGCTATCTTATACAACCCACTGAAACTGCAAAAGAAGTACACTCAAGGCAAGACTTTCCATCCCAAATTCCAGCCAGGATATGAAGGCTAAAGCCACCACTTTTCCAACACAAGTTCTCTGGTGCCATGCACTGGGGGCTTTCACTCTTATCTGGAAAAGCATCACTGTATGGAGCTACCAACACCACTTTCTGGAGGATCCTGCAGAAGTCCTGCACCACGTTACTGTGCAAGCCCACCACTGCTCACAGCACTGGTGTGAGTCGCAGCAATGGGAAGAGCACCCAGATCTTCCTGTGGATCTCCGCAGCCAAAGCCATGTCAGAGCCCAGCTTCAAGGAAGCTCAAAAACAACAAAAAAAATTACATTCATAAAAAAGGCTCTTTTATTTGCAGATAATGGTGAGGCAACTGGGCTTTCTCTGTATCTCCAGCCATTCTAGCAAGTAGAAAGTTTCCTCATTGCTAACAGCCTCTTGTATCCTACAGACAAGATCTTTAATATGAGGCTGATATCAGTCTTTTTCAGCCTGTACCATTCAGTCTGGTGAAGAACAAATGCAGATTTGTCTGTTCAGCCTCAGTTTTCACCACTCAGCATGGTGCTGCTGACGGTCTCTCCATCAGTATCACCAGAGATAGCAGCAACCAAGCAATGATGCACAGAGCTGTAGAGGCACAGAGCCTGTGCCTCTGAACCGGGGACTGCCAGCCTGTTCAGACCTTCCTAGGGAGAAGCTATGGGGACTGAGGATGTAGGAGCAACCCAGCTATTTAACCATGCTTGCATGGCTGCTCATTGGCACGAGAAACAAATTGGTGCTCCAGTTGGCTGGGAAGCCTGTGACTCACCAGAATGAAGGATGGCTCCGGCTGGGGTGGAGCTCTCTGGAACCTGATCCAGCTATTGTCCATACTCGCCTGTTCTTGACTAGATGAATTCCCTGTCCACAGCGATCAATGCAAAGATGCTGTGCCAAAACTGGCTTCAGTGGCCAGAACACATTTCTTTTTATGTTCTATTTCTGTGCTATCCTCCTCCCCAGCCTCTGGGGTGAGCAAATCAGAGCACTGTTAACATAACTTATGTTTGAAAGTTTTCTCAAGTGTGACAGATGTCTGGCTAAAACCCTACATATAAACTTCCTAGCTGCATCTTGGTTGATGGCCATTTTCTTACGTGAGCTTTGGGAAGTACATACCACGCAAGCAGTATATACATGCACTTATATCAGCCTGAAAATTACTGATCATCTTCTGTATCCTTCCTTACTAGGCGGAACTGTCCTCCTGTCTGTCACTCAGGGCAGGGAGCACAAACAAATCCAGACACAAGAGCAGTTCAGTCTTACCAGCAGGTATTCGAACCATTCTGCCCCCATCCTCCAGTCCAGACCCAGGTCCTTGGTGAGAAAGCTGGCAACATTCTGCCGCCCTCTGTTAGACATGAAGCCTGTCGCAGCCAGCTCTCGCATGTTGGCATCGACAAAAGGAACCCCTGTTTTGCCATCTGCAGAGACAAAAGACAGTGCTGGGATATGATGACATTTTGGGGCACTCATAAACCAACCTGTGTTCACGCATTCACAGCCACCCAAACAGGTAAGACAGTGCCAGTATACAGCAGCAGGGAGAGATTTCAGTGAGGTGTAGCTGGCATGCAGCCGCTAAGATCCACTGGAAACTAAATGGGAAATGATACTGAAAATTAAAATGAGGAGAATATTTGGCAAGAAAAAAAACAAGGTACAGAAGAATCTCAGACTGGAAGAACAATCAGGTGCATAACAGGGAAGATAACAGGGCAAAATAAATACACACACAATAGTGAGATGGGCCAAGAACAGAAAGATTCTTGACAGGGGACTAAGAACAGAGAGGCATGTATTGGACAAGTCCCCAAGGGTTAGCACCTGAAAACTAAAGGCCCTTTTCTATTGTTAAGGAAAAGATTTATTGTACCTTTGTGCAAATGGACACACATGGCATTGATGTGAAGAAAGATATATAAGTGTGTATTTCACTGATTCCAATACTTTAATGTTAGTCCTTCCCAATTTTAATTTGAGATATTATGCTTGTTATTTATGTGACAACAAAGTTATAAAAGCTAAAGAAAAGCAAGCATATTAAAAGGCTGTGGCATAATGAAAGATGTGATTTATTCTAAGGATGCTTTATCCTTCTGACTAAAGCCAACTGGAAGAACAATTCAGCATTGATAAGAAGGGCTGGTCAGCCTCTGTGTGACTAAACAGAAGGGACCAACGGGTCATAATACTTCCACCTGGGCAGGAAAATCCAACTGCGGTGCATCTCATAAAGTGTGTACCAGCCAGACAGAGCCTGGCCATCCACAATAACCTGTGGGCCTGCTCCTGTATGGTGCTCAATCTCAGAAGGGAAGCCGAGTGTCCTGCACTCACATCAAACCCAAGGGGTTGGATTCTTGTTTGGTGGTAATAGTTTAAATGATAGAGTCTGGTCATGCTGACAGTTCCTCTGCGTAAATCTGAGTTAGTGTTAGGGCACATGTTAGCATGCAGACACATGGAAACCAAAAGCACACTTAGCCAAATCTGCAGTTTCTACTGACCTTTCCAACAGTCAAAGAGCTGAAGGTCCTTCTTCCAGGGGACTTCTTTACTTTGAAGACCTACGGAGGAAAAAAAATGAACTGCTAATGATGCGGGCAGTTATTAATAAAACAATGACAGCCAGAGGCACCTTGTTTGACACAAGAGATGAGGATGAAGCCCTCTCAGTGGCATTACGAACAAGCCACATTCCTTCTCCAAAGGTTTAGAGATGATCTGTTTCTCAAGCGTTGCAAAGGGATGTCTCATGCACAAGGAGGATGCTCAAGCTCTAATGGATTTTGATTATTTGTTTTGTTGGTGTTTGCTCTTTTTTTTACTTAAAAATGACTCAGACCTCACAAGTGGCCAGAGATGTGCTCTGGCCCAACACAATATTTTCTTGTTTAATTTTACTCCAGGACAATATTTATGTGCCATCTGTTTCTGTAGCAGATACTGAACCCAGAATTACATAGCAGCCCCCGGTAACGCTTTGGTCCTGCAGTGGGGTAGGAACGGATGAAGGGGATGCCTTTACATATGCAGGAGTCCAGTGGCAATTACAGTCCTTTGTACAGTGGAATGGAGACAGCAGGGACCAGTCAGCTCTAGCTCCACACAGCTAAGTTTAGGTCCACCACTGGCATCCAGCACCATCTGAGATGCTACAGGGCATCCAAAACAGTCACACAGGCCTGGCAGATGTGACCCAGGCCCTGACGGAGACATGCTCCTCTGCAGCCACAGCTGGATGCCAGGCAGACTGCCCTAGGGTATCTAAAACAGTGCTGTATGCTTCAGTGTGGGCAGCTACATCACGTGGAGAACAGCTCACCCAGCACAGGCATCAGCTGTATGTTTTCCTGACTATGTGGACAGATACACATATTTGTTGCTGTACTGAGAGTTCAGACCCCCATTTCAGGTTTAGAAACCTGCACATAAGTGACTGGGTCTGGAGCTGAATCTCACTCTGATCCCTGTGTAGTGCAAGGCAGAAAGAATAGCTGATGTCTTGGGATTCACACTGCTGGGTGAGTTCCTGCTCTGACCCAGATTCTCTGGTGAACGTGGGCAAGCCCGAAGCCTGGATTCTCTCCAAAGGTGGAGTGTCTCCGGAAACAGCATCTTTACTCTTATTGTGCTGCTGTTTCCCACTGATATGTTAATAACACTCCCCATATCTAATCAGATTTGGAGCAAAAGTCTCAGTGTCTATGCCGTATCCAGCACCGTGATGTTCAGGCACTTCTGTGCTAACAGTGTCTGCAGCAACATCCCAGGATGGTGACACAAGCACCATGAGAAGAACATTTGTACAATACAATGCTGACAGCCTCTTCTTTTACTCTCCCCTGTTGTGAGAGTGTACCTTTCCTCTCCAAATACGGTGATCCACACACACCTCTTAATGAGAAAATCCTTTTGCCATACTTCAGGGCCACAAATCGAAAGTAATCCCGCCACAGCAGTTCAAACAGGACCCTAAAACACAAAGTCATGTCTGTATTACATTGTAGGTCAGAGAAAATTACTGAACTAGTATTTTGCTTCCACAGCACCCATCATTAACACCATGAGGTTTATTTACAATGACCCATTTCAGGTAGCTTCCCCTGATACCAGTTCTTGCCCCAAGCCTACTTATCTAGCTTGCACCTGGATGACTACAGTGAAAGCAAATTGCATGAATCACTTGGGAAGATTTCCTTAACTCCAGTGCAGGAGCAGAATTTCAGAAAACCTGTTTCTCATTTGTCCCTACTGGGATGTAATTCTCCAAAGAGTGGGGCCTGATTCAGCACCACACTTCCGCATGAGCAAGCATGTCAGCACATTCCTAAGAGCTTTGCGTTGATTTAAGCAATAACCTTTGTAAGGGACTTAAAGGCATCTTTCAAAACTGGGTTTACAGTGGTAGCTCATGAGATCAGGTGCTAGGCCCGCAGAAAATAGACAGTTTTATACAAAAGCTTTTCTATAAAAAAAACTTCTTATGAAATGATGGCACCTCAGCCTCTGAGACCCGCTTCAGCTCTCTGGCATATTGGAAATATTCTGCTTAGCTGATGTTTATTATTATTTATCACTTTAAAATGCTCAGATCACCATGGCACTCTGGCTGCAGGCAGGCTGGCAGACTATTACACAGGAAAACGTGAGTATGTTCGTTTCTTGAAATCTTTCCTCTTTTAATTGTCTTTGAAAAAAAAAAACCAAACATATATTTCAACAGGCAAAAGGTTGACATTTTATCTGTCATTTGAATTTTAATGAAATTGAGTATTTTGGCTGGAATTGCTGGCAACGTTCTGCCTGTTTTTCACCAACCATTGTGTTGTTTTACATGTTGCAAATGTAACAAACCAACACGAAATCAAAGTTCTACAGTTTGCACAGACTTTCTGGTTTGGGTTTTTTCCCATCCAGGTCTACTGTTAGGTCAGCCTCTAACATGAGCCTGCGTCTCCATAAGAGCTCCCTACCAGGCCCTAATTCACAGTGTACGGGCAGATCAGAGTGCATGAGCAAGTTCAAGGTCAGCCCAGGGATGGATACGCTGATCCCAGCTGTCCCCCACACTCCTTCAGGACAACCTGTAGGCAGGCGAGCAGTCAGCAGGGAGGTGAGGAAGAGCACGGGGGACAAGGTGGGATGCATTAAACTCGCTTCCCCGTCCTTTCCTCCCCTTTGCCATGGTGGTGTGGTCATGGCCAGGCAGCCGAGCAAGCACGGGGCCATGTGCTGGACTGTGGCCAGAGGTTCTTCTCACACCATGTGATTCGTACAAGTCGCACAGTTGCTGAGCCTTTTGGGTGAAACCCTGCTCACATCCTTGGCGTGAGAAACCTTTTGGCTTTCACTTGTAAATCATTCTTCTTCCTTCCCATCTAGCCCATAATAACAATGCAGAGAGTGATGGTGCTGATTTACAGAGATCAGTTTTAAAAATCACAAACCGCTATTTCCCAGCAATGACAACTAGCATTAATAATCTTTACTTATAAAGTATCTAAAGCCTCTGGTTGTCAAAGGCAGACTAATAAATCCATACTGAAACCAAAATGTAATGCAACCCAGAGAAACCAGACAGCAGGCACAGGAAAAATAAACATTAATTAAGAAGAAAGTTAACAAATCACTTTCTCCTGTGTGCGAGATGCCGGTTTCCTTTTCAGAGGAAACAAGCCATGATGACCGCACAGGGACATACCAGTATGTGCTCTGATTTGCCGCTCTCTCTTTTTCATACTTCTGGATCTGCTCATAGATGTATCGAGGTGAAATGCAGCCCAGTGCCAGCCTGAAAGCAGAAGAATGATGTCCTGAACACAATGCAGGACTGACAGCTTCATGTCTGCATGGAGGGAGTAGAGGGGCAGCTTTGTGTCTAGAGCTGTCTGAAAACTTTTGGTTTGCAGTTCTGCCACTGACTTCCTAAACGGCTTTAGTCAAGTTGTATGACTCCTTTGCAACTCTTCAATCTGAGAATCAAAATTCTCCTCTTCCCAGCATATGACTTCCAGGAGTCTCTAACCTACTGAGATAAATCATTTTACCCAAGTTTTACCTAAAAGATTTGCTCAGCTGGTGACCTAGCGCACCCATGACAAACCCAGAAACGGATCTCAAGTGCCAATCTCTGCATCAACTGTCCCAGCTGTTCAACAGCCCTCCTTTTACTACAGATCTATTTATCATGTGCCCAGGGCTCCTTTTCTGGCGGTAACTTAGTGTCTTATTTGAGCAACCACAGAAGGCAAGTGACTTGCTGAAAATCTCAGGCAGGGTAAGAAAACTAGGGAATCAAACCCAGCTCTGGCATTTCAACCCACTGGACTCCTTCTGTTTGTTCCAAATCAGTGCTGTGCAAGACAGGAAAGAGCTTGTTGACTCCAGCGTCATCGCAAAGAGTGATAAGGAATAACTTTTACCCTGATTTTCCTAGAAATGTATTTTACTGTGATTTCCCACTAGGGCTCATGGAAACATTTGATGTTCTGATGAATTTTGGAAAACAGGAAGAAAAGGCCTGAAGAGTTTTTCCTGAATTGTTGACCAGTTTTAACACTTATAAATGGCTGGTATGAGATACGAATGACTGGCTGCAATCTGAACCAGTCTGATTTTGATTATCTGACAGAGGAACACTTTGGGGCAGACAGATCAGGACTGTCTGCTCTGGGCAAATGGCCAGCTTGGAAAAACTTGAGTGGAGGCCGCAAATAAAGAACTTCTGCAGTGCCAGTGGTCCTAGGATCCCAAAGTGCCACCAGGTGGAGCCATCCACTGCAACCATTAGAGGACAGAGCCAGATGAAAATAAGAAATCCTGACCTGTAGCAGCCTCACAAAATTGTTTCATATTGCAATTCTGTTGGGAAAACACTCCAGATGTTCTCAGCATGAGGCTGAACTGGATTCTGCTGCTGCAGTTTCAGTCCAGAATTAACTCTGCCCCTTCCAGCATGAAACATTAAACCCCCTAATTAGAAGTCATCATATTTACCCAAACAAGAGATCCTTTCGCAGTAGGAATAAACAGAAGTGTCTCTTCACCCCACAGAAAAATGGGATGGCTGTGAGGTAAGGTGACTTGCCCCACAGTATTCAGCAAACCAGGACTGGATTGAGTTCTGCTCGACAGCCCTGTCAACACGCTGAAGCTCCGCTTCTCCCCTGGCTGCTCTCAACCACCCCTGATACACAAAACAGCACAAAGCCAACAAGCGGTGTGTCTCTCCAGTGCCCTGTCCACATCACTGCTCCCAGCACACTGGGCTCTTGGCACAGTACAGCTACTCTTTAGCAGTTCCTAATTGCAGGAATGTTCCCAGGGAACCGCTACCTGGAAGCATAATAAAAAGCAGCTCTGAGGCTGCTGTACGCCAACAAAAAAGGCAAAAGGAATCACACCTAGACCTCTACCCACACCCAGTGAGCACTCAGCAGACAGGTAACATCAGTTTGGGATGGGAGCAGAAAAGGAGCTGCCAGTCTCACAACAAAAATCTTTACCATGGTGCAAATTTGGTTGAGTAATCCATTCCCACCAGTCCATTCCGAGTCTCCTTGTAAGATGCAACCAGGTTCTGTGCGAGCAAAGGAACAATAAGTTTTAATACTTTACATGCAACCTACTAAATAGGTTTTCTTTCACGCTGGAGCTAGGGCAATCTGGCAGGGCTGGGCTCCCCCTCATGGCTGCCTGCAAGGATTACAGAGCTGCCAAATTACTGCCTCCACCACACAGGAATTAATCAGGCCAGCAGTTTTCATTATAGCTCTGGGATGCGTGTCACAAGCTATGCTCCCCGCTTCAGCACATTTCTTTCTACAAGCACTGTGAACGTTGCTGTGCAGCTCCCTACCCATATCCGCCTCACTCCGGATCAATAATCCACCTAAAAGCACCAGTGGGACGGGCGGCTGGTTCCCTTGTCCATGTGGCTGCTTGTTTAGGTTTGAGAACCACAGTGTCTGACAGCACCCAACACTCAGCTGCAGGAATACTGATCACTGTTACTTCTGGACCACCTGCATTTACATCAGAGTGCAAATCTTCCATTTTCTGGTCACTCCATGGACAATGCAGGGGACATAGGGAAGCTTGATCTCTCCTTGATCCCCTTACCTGCACAGGTTACCACTGCTAAAGGGCTGTTCTGGCTCACCAGGGAAGACAATATTTACATAACAACAAAAAAAGGAACAGGTTTTCCAGCACTGATTGTATTAATGCTTGACCAAGAGTAGAAACTATGCATTCTTGTACTGGTTTTGGCTGGGAGTTAATTTTCTTTACAGTAGCTTGTGTGGTGCTATGTTTTGGATTTGTGAGGGAAACAGTGTTGATGATAGCACACCAATGTTTTAGTTATTACTAAGCAGTGTTTACACAGCATCTGCTCCTCAGACTGCCCCACCAGCGGGCATCTAGAGCTGTTGTCAAGTGAGCACAAGGAGTTGGGAGGGGACACAGCCGGGACAGCTGACCCCAACTGACCAAAGAGAAGTCCCATACCATACGACATCACACTTGGCCATAAAAGCTGGGGGAAGGAGGAAGGGGGGAATGTTGGGAGTTATGGAATTTGTCTTCCCAAGTAACCGTTACGCATGATGGAGCCCTGCTTTCCTGGAGATGGCTGAACACCTGCCCAGTGATGGGAAGCGGTGAAAGAATTCCTTAATTTGCTTTGCCTGTGCATGCGGCGTTTGCTTTACCTATGAAACTGTCTTTATCTCAACCCAGGATTTTTCTCACTTTTACCCTCCTGAGCCTCTCCCCATCCCAAGCTGGGGGAGAGAGTGAGCAGCAGTGTGGGGCTGAGCTGCCCACTGGGGTTAAACCACGACAATACTCCTCAACAGCATGGGAATGCAGGAACTTCTGTAGCTCGGTTGAAAGGAAAGAATACCATGGGAGCTGGGCCAGTGAGTGCACTGGACACAGCACACTTAACTCATCCCAGATGGAAAGATGCCATCCCCTTTATCCACAAAGCTGCATAGGGTCTGATGCTGTTGGAAATCAGCATATATGTCTTAATGCAGTTCTTCAAAATAGATCAGGAAAAAGTTCAAATATGGTCAGGATGCACAGACAAAATGCAGTCAGCAGCAGCTTCATTCCATCAAAGCAAGGGAGCAAGAAGTAGCTGTAATTACTGGCTGCAAGTTTTCAAACCAGACTACTGGGAACCTCCTACTATTTTTAACTGTGGGCAGCAGCTTGGGTCAGTTGTTCCTCACCCCAATTACAACTGCAGCCCTTCAGGCCACTTTTCACTCCTCCAAAATGGAAGAACTGCATTGCTAATGACATGGGACAGGAGAGTAGAAAGGGAAAATCAAGGTAAAAGGAGCTAAATAAAATTGTCCCAATTCCCAAAAGCTGATGGAAAAAACGACTTAAGAGGGATGGCCACTAAACTAGGTTCCTAAGTATTTGGCTTACATTCCCATTTCCTGGATGACTTTTTGATTTAGTTTGTCTCTCTGAAAAACTGAAATAATGCTAATTCCCTCCTTTGTAAAGTGTTATACAGCCACTAAGGAAATATTATTAGGAAGTGAAATTGCAGCCTCACCCACTTGCACAGCCGTATGTACAAGGGGGAGGATGTAGACAAGGAAATGTATGAGTTACCGTGTCCCAAAAATAATACTGCAGTCTCATTAATGCCTGGGTCTCTCCTCCACTGCAGGGGAAGGCTGTTCGTGGATCAGTCACAGGATCTGCCACAGAAAACACCATCACCTTGTTACCCGCTTTGGAAAGCATCTCAAAAGGTCGGGAGCTTAAAATCTAGAGATGTTCAGCAGTAGGGATCTCTGCTTTGGGGATATAAAAGATTGTGCCCTGGTCTTCCTTTAAAACAAGGGCCACCTTACACGTATTAAAAATTATTGACTAAGAGGATGTTTTCTACCCAGCTGCAGGGCAGCTCCTCCACACAGGGAATTTACCTTCATTTGCTGTATGAGTGAATAGAGGGTTAGTTACAGTTTGAAGGGCAACCACTGCCATTGGGAGGCCTCCATGTTTTGATTCTCAGTAAGAGATATCTCTAAGTAGGATTTCATGGTAGCAACTGCCAAATTAACTTTTCTTACCGTTCTGTCCCAAGTCCTCCATCGTAGGGATACACCCTTCTTCCACCCCTGGAGCCAGAGGCTTTAGCTGCTCTGCCATGCGCAGGGTTGGCCGGACCTTCACCCCAGATTCCACCACTTTTCGGAAATGGGTGTAGACATCGGGCAACCTGCACAGATTACAATGCACTCAGATCTCCACAGGATGGCTACCCTGGACCCTCCACACAGCACCACATAGCTTCGGCAGGTGGAGGGTTAGCTTTCCAGGCTGCACTTTCCTGAGGGCAGAGCACCTGATGCATGTTTGTACAGTGCCTGGCACAATAGAGGTAGACGCCCCTGGGGCTAGCAGCAATCAGGAGTTCAGTCCTTCAGCCAATTTCTTTCTGCTTCTGATGCAAATCGTGCCTTTTCAATTGAAGGTGTGTCCTGATGGGGCAATCCAGGAGGGTCAGATTTATCTCACCTAACTTCTGATTATCCACAAGGCTGACCTCAGTGTAAAAATTTGCAACATCCTGCTGCCTTTTCAGTCAATGGAGAGAAAAAGACATTTTTATGGCCTGACTCTTCTGCCATATTTTATACATTTTCTAAAGAATACCATGAATCACTCAACTCCATCAACTACACCTCAAGTGACTATTGAGGGAGCCATGAAGAGTCCACACACAAAGGGCTCCTGTCACGGGCATTTAACCAGATGGGGTAATGGAGCAATCCAGTCCAATGTCACAAGGACTCTGGGCACTGCAGAGTGAGTATCCAAACTGTGCTGGTGGAAGGGCAAAGAGAAATCAGTCCCTCGATAAATGGTCAAACAAACCCCTCGGCTTTATGCATACTGAAGCATAAATCCTACTGGGACAGAGGGATGAATGTGCCCCCTCCCCTTGATGTGTATGAGCATGACAGCACTGTTCCATAAATGCAGATGGGCTAATGGGTCCCTTCCCTGTGGGACTGAATGACCAAGATCCCTCCTGAGCAGTTCAATGGAGTGAGAAACAAATGGAACACTGGAGGAGTGAGTGATACCATGGAGCAGCCCACCTGGCAATAGGCCTGAAGGGAAGATCGTCCCGATGATACAGCGTGGATGCCCAGAATGTCTGGATCTTCACCCCGTGCTGACTGCACACCTGGCACAGCCCCTTCTCCACATCCAGCTCCTCCTGTGTGGCCTAGGAAGAACAAAACGCAGTGAGGCCATGGCTGCATGGCCTCAGCTCCACATGCACAGACCCTGGTCCCTGGTCTTGCCCTCCTCCCTCATCTCCACATTTAGCTTCATCCCTTTAGAGAGAGGTGCACACAGTCTCTAAGTATTTATTCCCTTCTGCCAAACCCTACAATCGTTTTCACTCTCCATTAGTAGTGCCAATGCCAGAATAAGGAACTCCTTGATGTAGGACATTGCAGATCTTTTAAGTTTGCATGGACTGGAAAGGTGGCTGGACAAGTACATCTAAAAGAAACCCACTGAGGATTATGGAATATCAGGATAGCATTGCTGTTTCAGAAAGTCCTTGAGCCACAGATTCTTGGAGGCTGGGAAAGTATTCAGGGGACTTATCTTTACAGATTTGTCCTGCTCCTGAGGTCTTCCCTGGGTATCCGTTATTGGTCACTGTCAGGAAAAAGGCTACAGAGTTAGATAAGGCCTTTTGGCTCATTCTCTGTAGTTGTTCTTAGTGCTCCATGGATTAAGGCACTATGGGATGTGTGGGTTGGCAAATTCCAAGGGTCTTAGGCATGACAGCAGGAATACCTGTAGTGCAGGTCATGGTGTGATTACTGCATTAGACAGCTCTGACATCCAGGCTCTGCTAATACTGATTGCATCTATGTATATACATACATATGTGTGTGTGTACACAAAGCCTCCAGGTCCAGTGGTTTGGATCCAGAGCCCCCCATTGAATTCAGCAGGCTCTGGACCAAACCACTTAGTTAACTCAGTGAAGACAGGTCAGTGACACACCAACCCCGTCAGCAGTCCAGGACCAGACTTGTGTTTTGTTCTTCAACACACTGGTGGGCTGTCAACTCACCATGGGCCTTTTCTATACTCGATACAATATGCCCCCTGGCAGCTAGCTCTCTGTGCAAGGAAGGTGCCAGGAAAAGGCAGCTTGATGCAAACAGGAGGAGAAATGGACTCAGCTGACCTAAAATGTCAGTTGCCAGAAACTCCTCTTCTGAAGACACAGCACTTGCAAGTGATCAGTCACAAATAGCTGCTGTCATCCAGCAAGGACTCCCACCCAGACACCTACACCACCCCCATCCCAGGAGCTAGCCAGGTTCCCCAAGGTTAACAATCCCACAGAGAAGAAAGGCTCTGAACACACAGGATCTGCATCACCATTTGGTTGTGGAAGAAACCTCCGCAATCTAATTTTGTCTTTTAACAGTGTCACTCAAATATTTCCCTTACCTCTTCATGGAAAGCCACAGCACTGACAGAGCCCAACTGAGTAATCAGATCACAGACCACATCTTCCGGCTTCCCCTTCCTCACCACCAGGGTACTACAAGCACAAAATATTGGCCTGAATTAGGTTTGATGTTGTTGTTATTTATGTGTACAGGAGGCCCTAGTTCTGGCCCAGGCACCCATGTACTAGCTCTCTACAGGGCACGGACAGCATGTGGAGGCAGACAGACAGGATCTGACAAGCCTACATTTTTTAGGACCCACTGAACAGTCTGTAAGCCTCTGGGGCTCAGTGTGTGTCAAACACATTCCTACCACCCTGGATGACTTAGAAAGGATGACTGGGCAGAAAGCCAGGCTGTTACCTAAAGTAAATCTGTCAGATCTGTTCATCCTCACACACTGAGGCTGAGATTCAAGAACTGATTGCTCTTTCAATCCCCTTCACAGGTAGCGGTGGCCTGTGGGCAGACCTCTCTCCACTTTCATGTGGGAGTGTTCAGAGGAATTTTTTCCTCTGAATGATCCGTGTTTGTAACAGAGTCAACAAAACTTCCCTCCCACCTTGAAACCTCACCAACTGCCCAGCTGTGTAGCTGGGGCTCCAGACCAAGAGAGAAGCTGTGGTGAGAAAGTTGGTCAGAGGTGTATGCAGAGTTCTGTGAGGAGCCTCATATGTGACTCTGTCCCTTTACCTGTCTCTCTCTCTCTCTCTCTCACACACACACACGCTACTGCGTCATCTAACAGAAGCTTGTGCTGGAGAAGAATTTCTTGAACGGGTAACATTGATTTTTCCAGAATAATTAAAAGCGTAACTGAAAAGTGTCTTCAAAGATAGTCTGGGTCTGAAATGGGCAGGAGCAAGGGGTGCTGCTGAGAGAGCTGTTCCCCTTACTTCCCACAGAAAAGCAGAGACCGAGCTGCCCACTGGGAACACCACAGGTTGGACGTGGAGTTTTTTGTCTACCACTGCATTTAGAAGATACTTCATGGTTGTGGAAATGGAGCCTAGGTCTTAGTGTGGCTATTCACAACCGCACATCTCTCACTGCAGAAGACCTATCTCTTACCAGCCACTGACAACAGCACAGCAGCATCCAAGCAGCTCTGAATCTGTTCACTGGAAGGTGTGGGTGCAGATACCCACTGATCAGTTCTTTCAGTCTCCTATAACATTCACCGTCTGCACTGCCCACGGCACACTGCAAACTCAGCCATTCCTCTTGCCTCTACTACCACTGTTATTCTGCTCTGGGAGAAGACAGGCTGGCTGATGCATCTTCTGCTAAGCAACGCCAGGTGTTATCTGGTAATGGGATTCTTCAGCACGTAGACCTTCAGGCCCTGGTCTACCCCAGTTATGATTTCTAAAGGCATAATGAAGGAGGAATTTCTGAAGACCCCCTTCCCACAGTGTAGTTTACCAAAGACATTGGGTTTAGCAGGAGAGGGCAGGAGCAACTTAACTCTCCAGTCTCACAAGCCGGGATCCATGTTGGTCTGCCTGAAGCCGACTCCTAGGGCAAACTCGCTAGGGACAAGGAAGGACATGTGCCACAGTGGCTAGTGTCACTGCCTGCATCTCAGAAAACTGTTCATGTCTCCAGTCATCAGGACTCTGGGCAAAGAGCTCAAGGCTGACACTCATCTGTGGTACCTGAGTTCAAGAAAGCAAAAACCCACATGGCACGCAGCCTGGATGGCTCTTCGCTCCCTTGCAGATGCCACAGTAGGTCATCTGAATAAGGGTTATGTATGGGACCTTACTGTATCTAACAGAAGAGCTGTGGCTCTCCCATGAGTCATCATCAGAGCCCAGAGTATCTGCACGATTTCATTCACAGCACAAATAGGTGTTGAAAAAGAGAAAGAAAACACAAACAGACGTGTTATTTGCACCATGCTTTCTCAACTACCTTCCTTTTTTCTTGAGCGTTTCCCTCAGATCCTTCACGCTTTCCAACAAAAACCTGAGCCGATGGGGCCCTGTCTTAGGGAAGCCGTAGAGGTGGGTCCCCAGGTAGTGCCGTGGGTCGAAGCAGTAGAGGGGAATAACGAAATCTGCGTTGCTCTGAGCCCAGTGGAGCACCTGGAAGCACAGAGAGGGCCATGGCAGCTCTCGGGGGGGGGCAGGATGCAGCGCGCACCTCTCCCCAGCCCACCCAAGAGCGGGTTTATTTCTAAAGAAATACCCGGGGGGCGGCCGGCCGGGCCCTACCTGGTTATCGTGGGCGCGCAGGCCGCAGCGCAGCAG